TAAAATGATTTTTATACTATTAGCCATGTGAGAAGGGCCTGTCGCTGAACTATAAAATGATTTTTATATTATTAGTTATGTGATTTAATGATAAAATTATATATACTATTAATCATTAATTTAAAATTTAATTTTTAGAATTAAGATAAAAAAACAAAATAATCTTTGGACCTCCTCAGTACCACCTTTTTCTTGGAAAATGCTCAATTGGGTCCATATTGTAATGATTTTTAGTGGGTCCCCAAACTAGAAAAGTCTATAATTTGATTTCAAAAAATTTTAAATTTAATTTTAAATGAGTGCCTGTGTTAAAAAAAATAATTTACGTGTTTTGTTAATACATGATCATTAAATAGTAATTTATTATTATTAAATAATAGATATATTAATTATTTTTAATAAAAAATTAATTTAAAAATAAATTTAAAAACTTTAAAGATTAAATCAAAAAAATTTTTATTCAAAAACTAATTCAAAGATTCGTCCCATAGTTAAAAGATCTAATTAGAGATTTAACGAATACCCACTAAAGCTAATCTAGTCAGAAGAGGCGTTTTGTCTGCAAATGATGATGTCACTTCTTGTTGATGTGCTTTCGGCCCCGCTGGATGTGTACCTTTTGTCGCTTTTTGATTTTGCTTGCAATGTATGGATGAGATGCTACAGATGGTGGGGACTAGATATAGCTTTAAGCAGTAGTTGTGTAAATGTGTTCAACCAAACACAGATGGCTTGGAAGGGGAAAGTTAATGTAAAGAGGGGTTGGGTTGTGATTTGGTTTGCTATGATGTGGACTTAATGGTTGGGAAGGAACGAGATGATTTTCCAGAACAAGGAGACTCAAGAAGACAGATTGTTTGAATTGATTCAAAATCCGATCTTTCCACTGGGTAAGAAGCACGATGGGAAAGGAGGACATCTTGTCGATGGAAGGGAGCAACAATCCAGTACACTGTTTGAAATCAAAGACATTGGTTGGGGTAATATAAACGGGGTTTGATTAGAATTTTGTGGGTATTGAAATAGCTCGAGTGTATCTATAATGTATTGTGTTTATAGATAGCAATACGTTTTGCACTCCAAAATTTAACAAGATTTTCTTCACATTTCAAAGGAAGAAAAAAAAAAAGGCTAAGAACTATTTACCAAAACCAGCGTCCAGAGGCAATAATTCGACCAAACCCTACCATGCATACCTGGTTGCAATTCATATCAAACTCAAGAAGAATAACAATTCATCACACACATATCAACCACAGCTACGGATGGTGCTTTTATACCTCTTTAAACATCCAGGGCAGCGCATGTCATTCATCAGGAGAGAACTCCTTATGATCCTTGTTTAATTATACCTGTTAACCCACGTGACAAGACTCGACATTCATAGCGGGCTTGCATGTGAGGGGGCGTGTTAAGTGGGAAAATCCCACATCGAGTATAAAAATAAAAAGCTTGTGAGTTAAATATAAAGAGGGCTACTCCACATATTGTCAATTGGTTTTATGTTGGATGCAAACCTTGTGTTTAGCCCATAATGCAGGATTTTCAATATGGTATCAGAGCCAAGGTTCTACCATGGGAAGCCCATTGTTAGCCTACTTGACAGGACCCGAAGTTGATACCGGGCCTGCATTTAAGGGGACGTGTTAACCTATGTGACAAGACCCGACATTCATAGCGGGCTTGCATGTGAGGGGGCGTATTAAGTGGGAAAATCCCACATCAAGTATAAAAATAAGAAGCTTGTGGGTTAAATATAAAGAGGGCTACTCCACCTATTGCCAATTGATTTTAAGTTGGATGCAAGCCTTGTGTTAAGCCCACACAGGATTTTCAATAATACCCACTAATGAGATCTTATTTTAACTAGTTCTAAAACTGTAATGATCAATTTTTTCCCCTTAAATTCTTAAATTCAACTCTAAATCAAGATTTTTTTAATTAATGAATACAACTTGACTACACTCTCATTACCATCCTAAACACTAACTATCACCGTTTTCAAATATAGTAGTTTGTTTTCCAATTTTTAGACACAAATTTTACATTTTAACCTAAAAGAATCACATCAACAGCGTCATCATAACACACAAGAATTTCGGTTTACCAAAAAATTAAAAGTAGCAAGATATTTGGTGCTAAATATTTCCCAGCCCCAGTAGCATTGCATGACACCCAAAAGAAGGAATATGCCATGAGTCTATAGACTATATTTCTAACCAAATGAACCTTTCAACATTAATAGCAGGAATATGCCTTGAGCACATAGACTATTCCTAATTAACCAAATGAACCTTTCAACATTCGTCATAGAAGAAATCAGTACTCTAGTTTTCTCATCTCAGTTGGTAGCCTTAACTAGGAGACAAGATGCTACCCTTCAATCTTCCCTAGGCGATATCTTCCTACCATATGTCATTGCAGGAGCATAATTTGTCTGCAACTATGCCTCGTATCAACACCTGATAATCTATAAATTTGTAAGAATATGGCAGACTAGTCCACAATGATATATACTGGCTTGTCTTTAGAGAAGAATAGCAATATATAGCCCTTTTTTTTAGACACTTAAGGTGTTTCTAAATTTATTTATACATATTTTGAAATTAATTATTCTTTGACGATTTTAAGGATATGCACACCTAATATTAATTTGATGCATTCAAATAAATCAATTTGCCTAAATATTAAATCCAAGGTTTAGATATTAAACCTAACTTAAAAGATGGTACTTACAAATAAATAGATACAACCCTTAAATTATAATAATATGTAGTGTTAGTCCGGCTCTCTAAATTGTAACAATATGTAGTGTTAGTCCAGCTTTCATAATGTTTGTAGGTATTTTTTCTTTTTTCTTTTTTCTTTTTTTTTGGTATCTTTGCGTTTGCAAATTTTTTAAGGGACTACTTAATCAAGAAATGAATCACAGAAGCTTCTGATATAAAATAAGAATTATTAGTTAACACATTGGAGCTTTCGACTTTAGTTTTATTGTGAAAGGGATCTAAATCGATCTCTTGCTTGCAATCAAGATCTCATTAATTCCTTCCAATTTTCAACTACCATCTCTTCCTACCTGTAATTAACTAGTTATTAGGTAATATTTTATATGACATATGTGGACAATTGAATTTTTTTTTTATCAAATAAAACTACTCATTAAGAATTATAGTGAAAAAAAATTTTAATAGGCATTTATATATTGGAAAATGATGTGTGCACACCCGGATCCAACACCCGGGTGTGCACACATCATATAAAAAAAAATGCTCATCAC